ACTGGACAACGTTATGGTGATTGCAGTTGAGTTCTGTGTACCATCATGCTCATGTAGTCTTTCTCGGTTGTTATGTCCGTCTTGGGGAAACTGTTCCTCAGTCCAATCCGCCCTCCAAGAAGTTCGACCTCGAAAACAGAAAGTGAGGAACACGAAAGAAGACGGCAAGACTGGCGTGGAGTAAACATGTTAAGGTCTTATATACAACTTGGAGTTGAGATGAAGCATGTAGTGTAATGAAAACGTACTTTTCTGCAGGTAGCTTTATAATCTTTCATATGATTGGCATCGTTATGGTTAGCGTATTGCTGCGTGCGCTGTACGTATATGTAATTAATGAATTTAATCTTTAGCATGTGACATACGTCACGTCGGATTACTGCTAAAAGCACTATTGTAATCCTTATGATGACGAGGTGTGTGAGGTGCAAGTCCATCACATACTACGATACTGACCTCAAACTATGAAAATAAAAAAGTAGAGCTCGGCAAGACGCATCTAAGGTTGATTCGTCGTCAGGTATTCGGAATCGTAGAATGTAGAAATTCCTCTGTTTGATTGGTCATATAGTTTGGTATGGGCCGCTATCAATTTTTGGGTCGTCTGATGTGGAGAACATCTATGACGGATATCTTTTTCTATGTACAGGTGCGCAGTTGATGTCGATTTATAGATGCTGCCGTTTTCAGATATTTTAAGTATTGGATGGTAGGATTTGCCCTACTATGCTTGGTCGATAATTGATGCGGTGAGTGCCACTAAGTGTCTTAAGTATCCGGCGACGCTAAGTGTAGGTGATTTTCGGTTGGTATGTATGTTGTATGGACAACTGGTGTTCCGTACAATGCCAACCCTATGAGCAGATGGGGCATTCAGCGTGAGAAGAATCGGAGCAACAATCGGGAGGAGACGGCAAGAGCTAGTGTTGCTAGGAAAAATTGTAAGGTATTATAGTAAAGGCATTCGATTTGAGCGGTAAGCTTACAAACTGTGACATACTGAGTCTGATGAAAGTAACATGTCATCGTTTCTATGTGTTGCATGCAATTCGGTAGATTACGAATGCCTGCGACATGCCATTAATCCTAGCGAAAAATATTATGTTACTTTGAAGGCCTAGCTGCAGCGGGTGACTGCTAATGCCGCTAAAACGATGATGTTATAGGGAAAGTAAGTAAAGTGAAAGTCGACGGCTAGCAACGATATGGGGCTCAAACTTAGTAATTGTAAGTGTATACTTACGGTGTCCAAATCTAAAGTTCTATTCGCGGTAACTAAACGGGACAGTTAGTCCCAAATATGAAAGGTGGTTGAAAGTAAATGATGTATCTAATCGCTCCTAGCAAGCACTCGGATATCGCAGATGCATAGAATCTATGATTAATAGTAAGTTCTGAACATGAGTTCCAGAGTTTAGACAGATGATAGATCTATGCAATTCGTACGGTGATCAGTGTTACGTATTCGGTTATTCAATTAGACGACTAGTGAATACCTTATGTGCCCAAGGTCATAAAATCAAGCCAGTGAAGATAAATGGCAAGTAATTCATAAATTACTGCGGGATGTATAATCGAGACACATTTCGTTGTGGCTCGGAAGCTGCGCGTAGACGCATGAAGGATATAGATACTGCGAGGAATGGCTGCAGTAATGAGGAGAAAAGAGCATCGGTATTAGTGCTATGAGACACTGAACCAGTGGTCAGCAAACGTATTCGGATTAAGCGTTCTAGTTATCAGTGGATACTTATAGTGACAGAATAAGTCAACAAGTCAGCGAAGCTATGTGCTGCGAGCAATTAAAGAGTATAAGTATTGTGGAGATAAGGAGTGGCTCCTAGCGCAAAAATGTATGCTGCCTACAAGAACGCGCTGCAGCTGAGAAGTGGTGATGCAGGTAACACGAAGAACTGATAGTGGTACTAAGGAGAGAGAGTATCGACGGCTAGCAATGGCATTGGGGTGAAGTCTTCTAGTTGTTAGTGGATGCCTAAAGTGTCCCAAAATAAGTCAACAGACGGCAAATGTATATGACGCAGAGAGTCCCAAAGAATAAAGTTTGGAGATACGACAGAGTGGCTCTTAGCAAGCTCCGGATATGCGCCGAGAAGCTTGTACCGTACGACCACTAGCTGCTTCTAAACAGAGACAGAATTTAAGAAGATCGACAAATGGTGGCGCTAGAAAAAGCTTTCAGTGGCCATCTGTAGCCATTCCAATAAGACGCTTGATCACTAGTGTATATCTACAGTGTCACAGGATGCGACAACATGCCAGCGAAGGTAAGTGAAACAGACATTCCGTAATGGGATAGCAAAACCAGAACCAAACAAGTAAGAGAAGTAGTAGGAATATACGGTAAATGAAAGCGCGATTGAATGAGAATATTCATTGTTGTCGTGATTCATAGGGTAACAAGTATCAGAGAGAACGGAGGCAACTTGGCGATAAGGATATATTTGGGCAATGTCAACTGTTACTTGAGGTCATACGCACGCCGGCCTCACCATCTAGGTAGTAGCCAGTTAAGTTGCTGCGATTAGCCGGAGACGGATGTCTCGAGCTAGCCAGGTGTAGGAGTTTTGAGTGAATGCAGAGGTATTCGGTATCCGGTGGCTAATGCTTAGGTGATGGAAGACATAAGGGGTTGTTGGAGGAAGCAGGCAGATAGGAATATTAGGATTCGGGATGGAGATAGTGTGGTAAGGTAAGAAAAGTGATTAAAAGTGGTCTTGTCCAATTTCAAAATACTTGTCTTCTGAACAGCTGATGTTCACTAGTTGGGAAACTTGTGTGACAGAGAGGTATCTGCTACCAGAAAAGCGGAACTGGTTTATATTCATAGACGCCATTATTGTGATAGGTAACCTATTCCATACATGTGCGTATCTGTAGAGGTCGAAGTTGGAGCGGATACTACAGTGCGTTCTTGGTAGGTTGATGGAGTGAGGTCTATCACGTAAGGGGTACGAAGGGATATATGAGTCTGAGACAGGGGTTAGTGGACCCCCATTGGGATTGTTAATACGTAGATACAGGAAAGCAATGTTGGTTTTCAGTCGGCCCAGCCATAACGGGTCGAGCTTTAGTGTGTTGCATCGCTCACGGTAGCTGAGACCTGAGCGCCCCAGGAGGCGTTTTGTGGAGGTACGCTGAACCTTGTTGAGGGTTATTATGTAGCATTTGCTTAGGTTTTTGCATACTATAGAGCAGTATTCTAGCAGAGGCCAGGCACATGTTTCGTAGTGCGCAGTTCTAGATTCCTGTATTGTCATGGTTTTGAGGATGTATCCGATAAGAGAGCGCGCTTTTGCTGCGGAATAAACTACTTGTTCCGCAAAGTTCAGCGAACAGGAGTAATGAACGTCCAGGTCCCGCACTGTTAGGCAGTTCCCTAATAGCGTGCCTTGTTGCATTAAGGTATTGGGTGGCTTGGTACAACTGTATGTAAGGACATTGCATTTTGCTAGTGTGCAAGCTAACTTCCATGTGTCGCACCTTGCAGCTAGGGCTCTTAAGTCGTATTGCATATGGGAGAGGGCGGTGTGGAAGTTTGACAGATGAAATGAGAAGACAATTTCAGTGTCGTTGGCGAACAGGTAGGGTGTCCTATGTTTAAAACCTGGAACACGTCATTGAAATAGAGCAGGAAAAGTAGAGGGCTTGAAACGCTTCCTTGAAATACGCCACCTTTGACTGGCTTTGGAAGTGACTAAAGTCCCTAACCATTAATGAATGTGAGCGAGCTGTATGATATGATGTGTGCCAAGTGTGCAGTTTGCCGGAGATACCGTATGATTCCAGCTTCAGCAAGAGTTCTGCATGTGGTACTCCGTCGAAGACTTTTGACATGTCTAGGAAGATGATGGCTAAAGCTTAGTTGTTGTCAATCTGTTGATGTACGTGGTTGACGACCTCAAATTGACAGGTTTGACAAGATTTGGACGGCAGCAATCCACGTTGATGTCGATTGACGAGGTTACGTGTAATCATGAAGGTGAGCATGGTTTCTTTAACTATTCGTTCCATTAGTTTTGAAGCTATAGGCGTGTGGCTGATGGGGAGATAGTTTTTCATGTTCTGCTGACTGCCCTTTATGTGTTTGGCGATGCCGGTGGCAGGTTTCCATGTGTTTGGATAAACGCCGTTTGTCATGGAAAGTGTGAATAGGTTGAGAAGTAGAACTGGAAGGTCCTGGCCACCGAGTAGCAACAGCGTAGAAGGGAGACCTTCGGGAGCAGGATGTGATGAACATTTGTCTGAGCTGATTACTCGATAGATAGAACGTAGATCAAACTTAATATTGTCGAGTGAGTCATTGGTGCGTCTAGATGGCATAGCTGGTGAGGTTCCGTTAGCGTCAGTGAAAGAATTGCAGAAGTATCCATTGCGGATCTCACATATTTTGGATGGATCGCTAATACCGGATGTGTCAGAAAGTCTTAGTGAGTCCACAGGCGTAGATTTTTGATTGCTTCTTTGTCGGAGTAGTTCACTGACTGACTTGATTTTATTGTTAGATTTAAGGGCAGCAGCTTTTTCAGCAATCTTGGCCGATTCCTGCGCAGTTTGCCAGTTGGTTAAGACTTCGTTCATGCGAACATGGATGTTGAATTCCTTAGTTTTAGCGTATCGCTGGCGCATGTTCATCATCCTAATTACCCCATAGGCCTTGGCTGGTTTCGTTGTCATCTTTAGGCGGCTTCTGCAAGTGTGTGGGGCGATCACATCTAGGCAGCTAAAGAAATTTAGATATAGGACGTGTGCGGCTGCGTCTACATCAGTGGCTAAAAGGAAGTTGTCCCACTTCGCAAATCGCACTAATATCTCAAAGCTGTCCCAGTTAATGTGATTGAACATTCGAAACTGTTTGACAGAAGAAGAAGTGGCGCAGTGTGGAGTAGAAAGTGTACATAGGAGTTTGACCACCTTGTGGTCGCAGCCCGGTATATTATCTAGTATACCAGCAACTTTCGAAAGACGAGGAGATAGCTCGAATGCGAGCTCAATTGGTTGGGCTGGAGTCCGATATTGAGCGCAAGTTGGAATCGGTGGAGCACGATGTGAACGAGCAGCGACGAGCTTTGGAGGCAGAAATTGTTGGGCTGCGAGACTCATTGCAAAGGGAAAAACACACATGTGAGCGGCTGACAACTCAACTGAACGATCAACTCAAGGCAAATAGCGCTTATCGGAAAGCGTAAGAGGCAGAGGTCAGTTGAGATAAGTTGTTTGTTCTCGTAATTGCAGGGTGTCTTTATTCCTACGATTGCGGTACTCTTATTTATGGGCCCCGCATTTGTTAGGTTTTGTGGCTGGTGAGAAAAAATCTGCTAGTTCCAGCCCCTCTCTATTTCAGATAACATTAATACCGTTGCATTTTTCTTTATATATATATATGTATAGTGCCCCATGCCGAGGCTGATGTTGCATTCTTGATGCTTCTTCACCGCAGATGGGCTAAACCAACTTACACTTAAACTAGGTCTTTTTAAGCTGGATAAATTTCATTCCGCTTTACTTGGTTTGTTCTGCCTCCCTGAATAATGTTCTATTAACTGGCCACGTTGCTTACACTAATTGCGCTTATCTTCGGTAATTTTGTTGCGTTTGTAGCAGTTTAAGTAACTTGTGGACATTTCTTACTTATCACGGATTTGTTGCTAACCAACTTACTTCATATGGTAATTTAGCGAAGAGTTATGCAACCGTATCTGTATGCATTATTGGATTTAATTTATTTCAGCTTGTCGTTTAAATTGAATGGCTGTTGTTTGATATCCCTGGTATGGTTGCGCTTGATGTGTATGTTGACAAGGTGCCTACCTGTCTATTACCCACTACATCGTCCATACTGGCTCCATGAGACAGTTGGTCGTTGCTGGAGGGGACGGGGTGCACGGTGCTTGTGGCCGTGCTAGGCTCAAAGAGCGGTTCCATGCACTCAGTGTGGAGCGGACTACGGTCCAGCCACCGCCTTGTGTGTGCTTGATTCCCCAAATACAGCGTGCTTGTGTTTACCTGTGAAGGAGTGTGGGCCGGCTCCGTTGATGAAACGTGGTTCCCATCCGCATGCCTCCCGGTCTTATTCCTTCGGGTTTACACTGGATATGGGGTGTGTGGTTGGAGCTGTGGGTGGTGCAGCGCAAGCCATCCATGGTCCCTCTGTAGGCGCAGGCGTCCTGTGGCTTGCCACAGTGACAGACAAATCCGAAACCGGATGCCGCCAACCATACCAGCAACTGCACCAGAGACACCTTGCGTAATTATTAAGTCTAGGGTGTTAGCACGCCTGGTGTGATAAATAAATAAATAAATAAATAAACTTTTATTCTCGACAATTCGAGGCACACCTTTACAGGCATGATCACGTTTAGCTAACATAGTGTAATCAAAAATGCACAGAAAGTACATGTTTGGCATAACAGTGAATGTAAGTGTATGAGTATATATACGCATGTAATTGTCTATGAATGTAGCTTGTATTTTGAATGTGCCACAGCATTTTTGACTGGATGTTATCAGCAGGAATGTGAGAATAAGCGATTGATGTCCATGGGTTGGCTACCATTTTCCGGATGTCCACAGGCCAGTGACTTTAGTTTGTGGCGAGTCACATTCGCCACGTCACAGTGTTGATAAGCAGACATTTGTGGCTTTTTGTAGGGAGAACGCTTGCCGGGCGAAAACTCACCACGTCCTGGAACACTGTCACCGAACTATTTGCTGGAACAGGTTAAACCCGAACCACCCAGCTGGCACCACAAGGAGGTTGTTCGGCTAGCCAGCCACTTGGGTCCAGTTATTCGCGTGGACGGTGGCAATAAAACTTTTGTATCTGAGTGGGGCAAACTGGTCGTTCCAGGGGATAAGTGGCATAGTGAAATCGCTACCCACTATCTTGTGACGTGGGGGCATTAGGGAGATTTCAGTGAAAGCTCAATGAGTTTATTAATCTTTTCGCTAGATGTTGGTATGCGCAACCGATAAGGAGGTAAAGTTGACCTCCTGTCTTCTGGATCCAGATGAAGTCTTCAGGGTCACCTATAGATAACAGTTGGAAATCGGGTGCACCAAAGTCGTCCCGGTCCTAGATAACGCAACCGCCACCCCGCTGATTGTTTCGTCCGTTACAGAATGTGGTGTAGCCTGGGATGCGTATTAAGCTGTCAGAGGCATTTGAGGGGTGCCACATTTCTGTGATGAGAACCAGCTGTGGACATAAGAGTAGGATAAATGTGCCGATGAGGTGCTTCTTGTATGTGATAGATCGCGCGTTAATAAGCAGCACGCTGTATGATTCAACGCAAAGAGAGTTAAAGGAGTTAGCTTGTGTGAGGTAAGTTGCGCAATAGGGTGCAACTGGCGCATGGTACATGGAAGGGTTAAGTAAAGGTGGAGAGGGTGTTATAGAAATGTGATCAGAAAGTGATTGAGTTGGTAGCTGATGTTAGTCGGCCGCTAATGAGACTTTGGTAGTATTGTGGGCTGTAGAACCTATCCGGAGAGCTAAAGCCAACCGTGGGGGTTAGTTACAGTGAGCACATGAGTTGTTGGAGGTAATAGAGAGCTGGGGAGAACTCTTGGATGGCAAGGCCCGGTTGTAGTGCTTGTCATCCGGATATATTTTTGGTTCAGGAGAGCGCATGGTCAGGGAGCACAGGGGCGTGTTGATGAAGCAGTAGAGATTTTCAAATGGGCGTCATCCTTTGGAAGGTGCTTTGTTCCCCAATGTTTCGAGAGGTTTTTGGGATGGGTAACGGGGTTGTTCACTTAACGTTTGGAAGGGATAGTGTTTTTTGTAGGACCGACTGGGAGAGCGTACCAGGCGGATAGCTAGCCCTGTTAGTTATTAGGGGAATCACTGCGTTGATGCTTCGCGAGCTGCTCATAGTTCCATTTTGCTGTGGTGACTGGTAGAACGTCCTCAGTTGATGAAAACCGCGGCATTTGTTATAGTTTTGGGGTTTGATAGCATTGTTGGGCGCCTCGAGTAGGTACGGATTGCGCGGTGATTGGGCGGGTTGGGTCAAAACCTGCATGGAGGGCGACGTTTGTGATAAGAATGATTTCGGCCTTAGGCGATCCATTGGTACAGATGTTGATTGGTGCGTATCAGCTGTCCGCTATTGCAGCGAGGAGATTGCTTGGGAACGATTATCATTGCTATGGTGATGCATCAGCGGGGAGGGTTTTGTTATACGAGGCATGCCGTGTTTCGGCCGTTGACCTTTGTTGGTAGTCTGTTTCGTTGTGAGGGTGGTTTTGGCTTTACACAAGGGGAGGGAAGGGAGTTGATCAGCGGGAAGTCTACATTGCTCGGTTTGGAATCTGTCACTCATGTCGGTAGCGGTATGCACTAAAGTATTCATTGACTCAGCTTCTTGTATCGTTATCTGGGATGAATCCAGAATGTTGGTTGACTTTTTATCTATTAGGGCTGTGGGGCTTGAGTCGGTGTGCAATGGTGTCGTGGACAAGTGCCGCAGGGGGTTAGGTCCAGACCCTTGTTAGTGCTTGTCGTAGAGCAAGCGGTAGCTCTGGCAATCGGCGATGAATCAGCTGGCAGTTGTCTTGCTTTGGTATTAGTATCGGTAGGGAAGCTGTTTGCAGCGGCGTTAGATCAGGCTTGATAAGAATAGGCCCAGTGTTTGCGTTTTTTCTTAAGGTAAGTCTATTTGCTATGAAGCGTGTAGCCAGTACTTGAGTTTGGAAGGCGATAAGAATAGGGTAATTACGACTGATTTCGATTTTCTGAGCCTTTTACTCACGCAAGTGTCAGGCGGGATGTTACATATGGACGCAAATAAGCGGGTGACTACCTCCAAAGGAAGTTTGTCAGGAACGTTGAATATGATCATGTTTCGGACACGACGGGTGCACTTGTTTACCTCATTAGTGCTGGTAGTAAGAAGAGCGCCAGCATCGTTGAGCCCATCAGCGTTGCCATTTTTCCTTATGTCTGCGAGTTGGGCCAATGGCATAAGTTTTGCTAGGTCTGCTCTGGTAACGGCCATTTCTTTTGTAAGAGCAGCTATTTCAGTTGAGTACACTGATTTCGTTAAGTGCATCTTTCGGTGGGTTTATAAGAAGAACACTGCAGGGGCGCAGTTTATTCAGGTTTTCTTTTGCAGCAGGACGTTTGGTTGCCTTAACCGCGTTTGCGGTGCATGAAGCAGAGCTTTGACCAACAGAAACGGCGGTATTCGAATGAGTGCTCCTACGTTTGCCCCGGATTTTGACTCGGACTGATTTACCTTTTATTCCATTTTTGGTAGTCATTACGGAATAGCACAGCTTTTTACTTCTTATTCCAAGAACACTGTTTTGTTGTATATGATCTAAAACATTAAAGTGTAGCACGTCAAAATATCGAGGCAACGCGTCTAACTATTCTTATGAATAGTAACTCTATGCCAAAATAAGCAACAATCAGACGAAAACGCTCAGTCTCTAACTTTGCTTGTGGCTTGGCTCGTTCGATGACTCAATCCGCTAAATCTGCTAGTTGAGTGAACGAACCGGAGCTCACGGTAGCAAGAATCGCTTGCGGGCTTTCTGGTAGTTGCTGTAGCCATAGTTCGCGAAATAAAGCCTCGTCCATGGTGGAGGAACCAAAGGGTTGCTGCATCTCTCGCAGCAGGGTTGAGGGCAGCTTGTTGCCTAGCCGCAGATCTCTAAAAAGCTGATGCAGGTGAACTTTCTCAGAGGGCATGACACGCCTAATCTTGACTTCCTTGAGAGCCTTATAGCTGTTTTCGTTCTGAGAAATGTAAACGTCTCCAACCTGCATTGACGTCTCCTTGGGGAGATAGAACATGGGTTTGCTATACTTCGCATAGTCGGAAGTGATTCTGTGGTTATCGAACTCAGCCTCAAGATGAGCGAACCGCAGAAGGGAGTCTATGTCGTAAAATGTGGTACGGATAGAAATACAAAGCTAAGGTGAGACACTGCCTTAGGGTCTACAGGTTCCATGGGTTAAAAAATGACGCAAAAGTGGGTTAAATTGTGCATAAATTAACTGGAAAATATGAAAAATTAATGGAACCAGCTCACCGGAGAAAAGTTCGAACAATCCGGCGCTGAGATTCTTCCGGAGTCGGTGTCACCACTTAGCAAGTAGCCGGTAGCTGAAGCCCGGAGAGTGATTCGAAAAGGTAGGATGGGTTGCAGGGAAAACTTTAAGGGTACAGCAAAAGAT